TTAATAAAATAATCTAAAAATATTTTAATTTAAAATATTTTAATAAATTGATAAAGTAAACTGTATATTTAATATATAATTCATCATGGAAAATATTTTTTCATGTAAAAAATTATATTATTATTTTACCTAACAGTGCAACGGTTCCTTCAGTATCGATGCCAATGGATTGAAAAGTAGATAGTACAGATGACATTGACTCATTGTGATTAGGGATGGCGGTTTCCACCTCCGTCAGGTAACTTTCCTGGCTATCTCTCCGGCCAGTTTTCATGTCAATGCGTGGTCCTCCGAGCTGTAGAAGTTCAGGTTTTATATTTTTATGATCAACATATTTTATTTAATATGTTTGGTAAGGAAGGAGAGGAATTAATGAAGAATTACCATGACAATTCCGTCTCTAGCAGAAAGAGCAACAATATCAGCACAAGAAACCGTCATGGGACATTCTTTCTCCAGGGCCTCTTTGATGGTTCTGACATACTCGAAATTTCTCATTCCAAAACTCCTATTAGATTCCTGCTCCGATTCAATTCCATTTGCTGTTTCCAGCAACAGGGATGCATCGCAGGACTGCATAAAAACAATTAATATAATGCAGCCTAAGTGTGTATCATGGGATATACATGATGATGCTCAACAAATGAAAAATATATATAGCTTTTCTAATTAATAAAAATAAAAATATACATGGAGGTTATTCTTTCAATCTAAATTGGTATAAAAATATCCATCTAGACAATTAAAGGAAGAGTGATTAATTCAAAACTGACCTTTTTCTTTTTTTTTGTCAATTCAGATTGAAATAAATTTTTCTTATATACAGATATACCTTAACTCCGCAATCATGAAAGAGATTTCGAACCCACGAAACAGCTGTATTTGCTTGTTTATCGTATAATTTGAAGACTTCTTGTTTGATGATCTCTTCAGCATTTGGACAGCTTTGTTCATAGTAGTTTAATTGAAGATCACTTTGACCTGCATTATTTTTTCCCCCTCTTACTAAGACTGTAACTGAAAAAAAAAAAAAAAAATTTAATATCAGCGGTCCAGCTCGTCACTGAACCACGATATGAGATTTGGCTTAAATGCTTGGTGTGATTAAAACGAGAACCAGAACCAGACTCATTGGCCCATAAGTATAGAATCTGTTTTAAGTGATATTAGGTTCACATTACTATCACACTACCACCGCCCGTAACCACTTTTCAAGCTAAAGTACATAGACATTTAAAAGTTTAAGGCCAAATTGTTAATACTAATTGATTTTCACACTTATATATATCACACTCATTTACAAATTTCAACCGATGTGAAATTTTAAGTGTTACTATAATATAGATTGTAAAACACTTTTCTAATAAATTAGAGATATAAGAAAGCAATACCAGAATAGAACTGTAGGAGTAATGGCAATAACAGAAAGAGACGTGTGGTGGAGCACAGGTTGTGCTTTTGCCTTCTGGTGGTGGCCATCTTTAACCTCCTTTTGGCTTCTCTGTGTGTTCCAGATGAGGAAATTTTCTCACCTTATATAGAAACTCTTAGAAGTGCAAACGTGCAATATATCAAATTCATAGCATGAAGCTAGCCATTTCCACTAGGCCACTTTCTTTGACCTTTCGGCCTGTTTTGTACTACCACGCTGGCGCGATCGTGACTGCCACTAGAAGGATAGATTATCAATATCAATAGAGAAGTGATACACAGTAATCCTATTTTAAAATATAAGTCTTGCAATTATATATGATAATTATTTTTGATATTATGTAATTGTTGTAAAATTTAATTATAAGATAAGATTTTGTATATTATTTTTTTATCAGTTATTATGCATATATTGGTAGCCGTTATTTTGCAATTATTGGAAGGAATAAGCTTTTTATTTAAAACTAGAATTTAAGCCAAGCTTTGTGCAGTGTACTGGAATATTTTTAGTGTAGAATTTTTTAGATTATTTAATATTATGTAATAACAAATAATTATAAATAACTATATTATTAATTTGGTTTTTAATATATAATAAAAGTATTATTATTTGTCTGTACTTTAAAACCTTAATTAAAATGTTTGGGATTTACTTTATGGGTATCTCCTTTTTTTCAGTATTTGATTTGCAATTTGGTATTGTAGATTAAAAACCTTGTGTTAAACATTAAGCATTTAATAAAAAAATTTAACGATTCCATTGTAATACTATTAACCTATAGTACTCAAAATGTTTATATTCTATAAATTAAATATTTTTAATATGCTATAAACTATAATTCATTAGTATAACTATTATTAATTATAAACTTTGTAATTTTTTTTTGTCTCCCTTTTCTTCCCTTATTACTTGGCTCCATGTAATGACATTTGCGAGCAAAAACATTTTATGAAAGCGTAAAAAAAAAAAAAAAAAAGAAGCCCAAATAATTCATTAATTCCTTTTTAAAAAAATAAAAAAAAAATAGTGTAAAGTTTTTCAATAATAATTGATTATTATAAGAAAGAAATTATTCCCTTGTATTTTCATTGGTCTTCTTCTTGGAACTCTCTATTGTTTACGCTGTTGAAACCATGTAATCATAAAGTTTTAAGGTTTTTTTTTTGGTTTTTTGAGTTTTAAATTCGCAAACACAAATCATAACCTTGTGTTGACATTAAAAATTCAATATAAAAAATAAATAAATGATTCTACTATAAACTTACTTTGTAATGCTTTTGGTCTCCCTCTTTTTCTCTTATTATTTGGCTCGGTTGCAATGATATCTGCTCGTAATAATTATTTCATAAACTTATCACTTGACTTTGTAAAATTTAATAATTCATGTTTTTAAAAACAAATTTTTTGTAAAGCGTTTCAATTGTTATTGATTATTATAACAAAGAAATAGTTATCTTATATTCTTTTTTTTCTTTTGCATTTTTAAAAGTATTAATTATATCAACGAAAGAACATACATATTTTTTAATGAACGTTTTGTTTTCATCTCTTTTGATGTCTATTTCTTCTTTGTGTTTTCTTTAGCAAAGAGAAAAGGTTTTGTTGAGTTTAAATTCAATTGGGAATAATCGAAGTAAGTGTTTGAATGGAAACATAGTAACATACGTTCTGAAAAATGATTTTGCAAATCCCCAAATAAATACAATTATTTGGACCAAATTCCTTGAAGAATAACACTTAATATCACTTAGGTAACTATTGTGTACAAATTAAAGATTAAAAAAAAATTGTATACAATTTATGTACCCTAAAAAAATAAAAAAACAATCACATACAAATTCTATTTGAAATTTTGAACGGGGTTTTTTTTTATATAATCTCGGTAAGAATAATGTAGCAACATTTGTGAATATCAATCTCGGTAAATATAATGTACACATATATGGATATCAATCTTGGGGTTTCAAATAGAATTTGTCTACATTATACGATTGTTAGTAATTTGTATACATATATTTATTCTACTTCAAACAGGACTATCAATAGATATTGAACTATCTTATGAACCGCTCAAATTGAAAATACCAACTGTGATGAAGATGACTGGGAAGCTAGAATGTTCGGTACTTTTTCATAAATTATACTCCCTCTATTCTTTTTTAGTAAATTTAGTTTGATTTTTTGAGTTTTAAGACAAGAATTTTAAATGTAAATTTAATAATATATAAATAACAACTGAAATTTTTTTTAATTAAATACTAATACTTAACAAAAACTATATATAGGAACAAAAAAATTTCATAGGGAACAAAATGCTGTGTTGTTTCATGTGTAATTATCCAAAGTCAGATGATTATACACGCCTGTTCATATGAGATAACATCACCATCTGACTTCAAAAAGGAAAAAAAAAAAAAATGGAAGAGCAAATGGAAAATGCAGCCTCAAAGCAAATGGAGATAAAAACACACGAAGATGGAGTCAACTGTCATAAGACACTCTTGGCTGCTCTAAGAAGCCATCATCCTGGTTTTCATATGTATCACAGCCCACAACATGGTAGGATCCCTCCGTTCTTTTTGTTGCCTTATCTCTTCCCCTTTCATAGTATATCACTCAACAAAACAGGAAAGACAATAATGTTCACTTTCAACTAACGCAAAAAAGTTATTGAACAAGTGACAAAAAGACCTCCTTAGCTCATCTTTGTTGACAGTAAGACTCTATTTACAATTGATGCTGGAAAACTTTCCCAAAGATTGACTGTTTGTTTCTTGGCAAAATTTTGGGGTTTAGGATTCTTGTTGAATTTCCAATGCAATAGTTCTAGCCCAGAACCTGAGATATTTCTTCATATCAAAAGTTGCCAACTCCCTTGGAAACTTCAGATTCAATAAAGGAGAACTGGGTCTCTTTATTAGCCAAGTTTCTGATAAGTATAGTCTCGTTACACCTCCTTCCTCTTCCTTCTGTTTAGTATCGTCTTCTGCATCATCCTCCTTAGGTTGTTCTATGTTAGTATCATTGTTTTTATGAAATTCAAATCTTTGAAGGCCGAGGATTACCCTCATTATTCGTCGGTTCAAGTGTTCTCTATTGAATATGAAGGCAAGATCCATGAACCCTTTTACTTCTTCAAGTTCCAAGTCTCTCAGGCTCCTACAGCTCATTGATTTTTGCAGTTTAGTCTCTAAATTACTTGAGCATCTGTGATTCTTCTAACATTACTGTGTTGATGGTGAAAAAGGTGACCGACTCCTACTTGTCCCAACACTCAATGTCCTTGGTCTTTTTATTTCCTTGATGACTGAATCTTCCTTACTAGAATCATCCTTCATATTGCACCATAGAACAACAAGGTTAGTAGAAGATGGAAACAAAGAAAGTTAAAGAAAGTAATAAGTTATATATTTGTTTTTGTTACCATTGATGAATTCTCCAAGCTCACATTTTCTTGGAGCGGTGAAACAGTTTTTGAAACTTTTGCTTCAGGAAAAGATGATACACAAATGCTTGGTGATGGACTTAAAAGCTTGTTCTGGTGTTCAAGGGTTTTTGTGACAACTTGTGAAGTGGATTCTTGGAACAAAATAATTTGATGAAACCAAAGATGATCCATGTTTCCAAGGATACTTATGCCTACCATTGTTGTAGAGGGAAAAAAGAGAAGGGGAAAGAGTTTGGGGACAGGGGACTCTTAAAAATTCAAGGGGGGATTTGTGGTGGTAGAGAAGTAATAAGTAAAGGAATATTGAAATTGGTGGAACTAGAACCATGGGCAAAGAAGAATGCGGTCTTCATAATGGATTCGTCCAACTCCACATCTTTTTGCATGCTAAATTACTATCATGGCCCCATCTCTAATGTGGATGCCATGCATTTCTTAGACCTTTTCAATATGTACAATCTCAAACAAAAAATAGAAAATACCTTCTTTTTTTTTTTTTTTACTTAAAGGTTTTAATACAAACACTTAGGTAGCATGATGTTCTCTAATTGGGTATGGATTCCTATATTACACAACGTACTCTGTCCTCAGCACAGGCAATTCTATCTTGACAAGGCGAGATGGAGCTGAAGATGAGGCTACAACCTCTTCTTTCACCTCATGATCTTGTTCCTCTATGATTTCTCCTTTATTACCCCTTCTTGGGCTCTAGTTGGTGGACAACAAAGTTCGAGCAGATTGAAGAAATTGTTCCTGTTTCTTCCTTCTCTCCCCCACCCTTGCATGCCATTCCTTGATTATTTTGGCTATCTTTTTGTCTAGTAGTTTGCCCTTGAATTCTTAACCCTTTTTTTTTTTTTTTTTTTGTACTAACCTTATAGTATCTGGAAGCTATATTAAATCATAATTAATTTAGAATCAAATCACATCAGACTTCATAAAAGAGAAACTCTCTTAACACATGATTCCCTATTTACAATACTCGAATGTAAAATTTTATTTTAAAAAACTAAACTCCTTTCATTTGGACTAGTAAGTTGTTGGTTTAAACGCATCTAATAAAAAAACAAAAATACAGTTAATAGAATCTTTTCTATCCCTTAATAAATCAACATATTGGAAGAATCATTGAGTATATATCAATACTTTTTACGGCTAAAATTGTGTGTAGTTTAGATTGAAAAATTGTATTTTTCATGTTAAAAGAAGAAGGATGTTTTATTTTTAATTTTTTTTGTATAAAAACCCATGAATCAAATTTGCTCACTCGTGTCACAAATGCATACAGGGGAAGAGTAATGTAGCTGCAATGGACTTGAATTGTAACCCTGCAGCATGCAACCACATTACAATGATTGCCCTTAACCAAATAAGTTAAAATAGATAATGAAGTGATTATAGTCAAAATCCTTACGCTTATACGATCCTTGTGATAATGATGGCAATGTGCTCATGATAGCAAGAATCAAATCCAAATTATATCTAACACCAGAAATTATTAGAGTATAGAAGATTAAAAGTTAAATCTCCAAATTATTCCTTTAATTATTGTACAGCTTTGATTTGGTTTTTAAACTAAAAAAATCATTGATTTAATTTTTATTATTTATTAATTTGGCTCTAAGTTGATCATTTCATTAAAAAATAATTAACATGTTTGTTATTTAATAATTGAAAATCATTACTTAATAGTCTCCACGTGTCATGTTAATAATGAAATACATTATTTATTTTTATATGGAAAAATCAACTTAAGATTAAATTGAGAAATAATAAAGAACAAATCAAAAAAAATTTTAATTTAAAGATCAAATTAAAAGTTCATATAATAATTAAAGAATCAAATTAAGGGTTTAACACAAATAAAAATACTCTGCACGAACTATACTTAAATACACTTAGGTATCGTTGGAGGGCGGTGGGGACTCCGAAATTGGAGCCAACCATTGTGCAGTTCAAAAATTAAAAATAAAAAAGACAAAAAAGGGGTAAGCAGATGGTTTTTGGGCCTGTGATTCTGCTCTGGGGATTGGAGCTTTTTTATTTAATGTAGAAACTATTACAAGGCTTGGGGCCCATGGGGCCCATAATATCTAAAGCAGGAGAATTATTGCTTAACACGATAGCAAGGTAGTTTGTTTGTTTTGCTTAATTAGGAATCCAACTGATTGACATAGCGACAATCCTTCCTAATTTCTCCTTGATCGCCGGTGAGCGGATTGTTTTCCGACAACAAGAGGATGGCCCTGGCAAATTGGTTGTGGAAATACCCATTATCGGCGGCCATCTTCTCCACAAAAGGAGACGTAAGTGGATCAGAAGCCAACGCCTGATCCACTAAGAGCAGTCCTTTGTGTTCCAACAAGTGTTTGTAGTAGAAATTGTTAAGAATCATGGGCGTATCCCGGTCCTTCCTAGCGTACAGCACCGCTTTTGGGTCAGGATCCGGCGTAGGACACCTTCCCTTCAGGTACTTAGCATAATCAGGGTCCAGCGTTGGATCAACAGTGGGATAGAGCCTGTGGACTAAGTTGACGCAATGGACTCGACCCAGGGAATGTGCTCCTATGCATAAATGTAAATTAATTTTGACTTAAAAATTTAAACTTACTTAAAATTAAACAATTAACTTTCGACTTTAAAAAAAGGATTTGTATTTATAGATTAAATTATACATTAAATTAAAATATAGTTCATTTTATAAATTTATTAAAATATTTTTTATAAAATAATATAAAAAATAATTTAATTAAAAATATTT